CTTGCAGGGTTAAACGCCCCTGCTTTTATAATTTCATTTTCCCTCAACAAAAAGCTCATCTTTTTCTTTAAATTTTGTTTGGATGGCCGTTGAGACAAGACAACCCACACTTTTTGTTTAATTCTTGGACGGGCTTTGTTTTCCTATTCACGCTTTTTCCTGTTTGATTTGTCTAATTTGTTCGAATATTTCTCTAATCTTTTTAATCACGGCCTTCAATAAAAAAAACTTTAAATTTTGTATCATTTAATTTTATTAATCTTTAAACTATATTGTAATTATCTTATTAGATGAAAAATCTTATTTATAAATTTAAAATTAATCTCATTATTTATTGATGTAAAATACGTAACAATATTGTTTAGCTTGAATCAAATATTAATTTATTTCAATTAAGTGTCACATTCCTTGATGTAATGAACAAAATTTTAAAAAATTAATGGACCTAATTTAATTAGAAAAAAGTACTAACCAAGTTAGATCTCATTATTCTTTTTTTGGAAGCGCATAATCATGGTGCTTAACTTTTTCCTTACTCAGTTCACAATTTTAATATAATAATAATTTGTGCTTAAGAAAACTTTAGTACGTATTGTCCATCACATATTTTAATATTATGTTTATATATATATATATAGTCATCCAACAACCCAGTTTTGTGTTGTCAACAAACATGTGAAACGACAAGAAGAAATCAATGTCAAAAAAAGCAAACAACATACAACATGTTGATGTTGGACCACTCTACAGTTGGATTAAACCATCCAGGTTTTCTCTTTTTGGGTTAACCAAACCTTTGGAGTGTTAAATCCTCTAACAATTTTGTCTGAAAAGAGTTATTCCTTTAATGAAAAAGGCTAGGAGCTATAGAAACATGATGCATACTGCTTAACCACATATAGGCTTTGAACTCAGTTTGAATAATACTATTTGAGTTTGATGCTTCATACCCATTATTTTTCTGGGATCACTTTGCTTAGAGGGACCACCATGACAAGAAAGTCCTTTGTGCTTGCTGACACATGAACATGTGCAGGCCTGCTTAGAGTTTGGCTACTTGGTTAAAAATATACCAAATAACCAATGAAATGCGGTTTGTCCCAGATTAAGTTGTTCCTATCTGCAACACTGCAACTTGCTAGCTAATCTATATGTAAGCCAGAGCAACACTAAGCACAGTTTTTATTTAATAGCAAGAGCTTGATTGTGCACAATCATTTATTTTTTTTTATTTAACAAGATGAAAACTGGTGTATTTAGTGAAACAACTATTGTTTATAATACAAATAATAAATATTATCCAACAATGTTGTATACATCATCTGTTCTTATTCAGACAGGTTTTATTGTTACCTTAGGTCTGAAATCATGTACATCCAATAATATCACTTTTCTAACCACAGCATGCTTGATCGACCAAACGCATTGTCAGCAATAAGACAAATAAACAATCATAGAGGAACTATGGTCATATGCAATTGAAGATTAGCTTGATAACATAATGCAGCAAAGTCAGGTTCATGGTCAAGCAGCCAATATCAACAACAAAAGATCATGCAGACCAAACCTACCGACATCTTGCAGATTGGAGCTGAAAACAACACCACTAGCTAGCATTTCAAGTTTCAATTAGTATATGCCCAATAGATGTTGTAAACTACGGGGTTAAATGAATTTGATATGAGATGATCGTTATACTATCATCATAAAAATAGCAATAATGGATACTTCGTTTTTAATTAACCACCAGCATAGTTATATCAAACTCATCTATCCTTGTTTCACACAGAGGGAAAACCATGAATCTTACCAGATCAGATAGCTAGAACAGAAAGATATGATGAAATCTTGCAGATGAACGACATAAAGCTAATATAAACAGACAGTTACAATTTTGTGACCTGCTTCACTGCTAAGCTGTACAAACTAGGAATCAATGCTTGGTAATAACTATGGCAAATAACTAAAATATGCCTTGCGTTGTTGGCAAATCCAAAATTTATGTTCAAGTTAATCACATTAAAAGAGGGAACCAAAAGATCAAAAGATAATGGAAAAAACTAAGATGCGGAGAGAGGGATTGGCTTTACTGCACTTTGAATTCGTCGAAAAGCTGTCTTTACTCTCTCCTTTAGACCTTCACTTTCACTCTCAACATCCCCACTCTGTTTATCAAGATGAGCTACATTCCCGTCCACACTTATCATAAGCTTTCCATTTTCTCCTAATTTGACATCCCCAAAGAGTGAAACTAGGAGTGCATGAATAACCTTTTCTGCCTTCTTCCCATTTTCTTCTTCTGTTTTTACAGCCTCAGATTCAACTACTATCTTAGGGATCTCTCGGCTGATGTTCAGAACCAAAGCTACAATGGAATCTGACACCATGTCACTTATAGGATCTGATGTCCAATGCAATGAAATATGCTTATCTGAATCCTGCTTCACAGTCACTCTATCATGCACCCGCAATGTTGGAACCCCAGATTCTTCATCTGTTGAAGATTCCACACTCTCATATATCTGCTCAAGTCGATGTTTTATCACACCAAAGGCACCAGCAAATGGGATAGTAATCCTCTGAGTGATATTAGCTGTTGATAGCTGTGAGAAGATATGTATATCATCAGAAGCCATTATCTGGTACGTGAAACCTTTCTTTACCAGAACACCACTGACAGTTTCACCTACTTCTGGGGTCTTTTCAGCCAATCTTCCAATGGTCTTAGCCATTTTCTCTGAGTTAAAATACATCTCAACAGACTGACAATTCTTAGGGGTAATGATTTTGGTGTTGCCATCAGTAAGCTCGGTAATAAGCTTCTGTTTGAGTCTCCCCATCTCATTTGCTTCTCCATGAACAAGAATTATGTTGGGAGGCATGAGCTCTTTCAAAAATGTACTAGTCTGCGCATAGTCTGCATGGGCAGAGAATGAAATGTAATGAACCTGCATGCTGAGTGGAGCAGTGAGACCATTCATGAGCGTGACTTCCTTTGGTTCACTAATAATTGTTTTTGCCAGCGTCCCTTCGACGACATAACCAGGTAAAACACAAGCATTTCTCTTATCAGAACACCACATTTCAAAGAGTTGGCGTGACAACCCACTCTGAAGTCCACCAGGACTTGCCATTACAACAGATGGGCCTACATCACTAAAATCCTCAATGCTATTTAATGGTCCAATGTGCTTGAACTTGAAGGGGTTTGAGTTTGCAAATTGATTGCGAATTCTCTCATTCATCGAAAGTATGTATGTTTGATAAACAGCCATACACTTTTTTGCAAGTGGAGAGGCATAATATATTGGAATGTTATCAAGCTCAGGGTGGTTTGACCAATACTCATCAAGGATCAATAGAAGTTCTTGCGCACGACCCAGGGCAAATGCTGGAATTAGAACACGACCCCCTTGTGATATAGTAGAATGGACAGCATCAGTAAATCGCTTCTCCCGAATGTGCCGTGGTTGGTGGAGCTGGACACCATAAGTGGATTCAATTATGCATATATCAGGAGAAAACTGTGGGAGCTCAGCAGCACGGAGATGCCGGTCTTCTTCCCGGGAATAGTCTCCAGTGTAGAGGACTCGAACGCCAGCAATGTCAACCATAAACATGGCAGCACCAAGAACATGACCAGCAGTATAGCACCAGAATTTAATGCCATTTACTTCCACAGTTTGGTGGAAATCAATAACCTGCAGTCAAGCACATAAAAGAACAACACATATTCAATCATTTACTGGTTTAAATTCAAAGCAAATCTAACAACATCAGAACCAGGTTTCACAGAAAGTACAACACTAGAACAGATGGAAATTAAACATTACCAAGACTACGATCACATACCTCAATTTTATCCATGGAACGATTAATGTCTTGTTCGTCAAATAACATGTCTTCAACTGAAACTTTGCTCACTTTGACATAATCAGTCAGAATTAGCTTATAGATAGCCTTTGTTGCATGAGTCATAAAGACTCGGCCTCTGAATGTGGTCTGATAGAAATTTTAAAACATATTGCTTTTAAAAAGAACACACACACATATTTAAACTTATACATTAATTCACTTGGAAAGAAACAAACCTTTTCCAGAAAGTACGGTAGGGATGCAGCATGATCCAAGTGAAAGCTGCACAAATATCAAAAGCAAGTGAAATATACCAATTAACTCTACCGACTAGCAGAATTGAAGGATATAAAAAAAAATAAGAAGAAAAAAAAAACATACTGGGTGATAAGAAGGACATCTATTGTTGACGGATCAATCTCATCGAAATACGGCAAAGCAGCCATACCCGAGTAAGCAGGATGAATTCCACAATCAAACTATCATGTCAAGAAAAAAAAAAGATTCATAGGAAAAATTACAAGCAAATAAGTTAATAAGCAAAATCCAAAAAAAAGGATTAAAAGAATGAGCAAGCATACCAGTACAGTTTTGCTTTTATAAGTCATGTAAACACAAGAACGACCAACTTCATTGCCAGCGCCTAAAGGGGTTATAGTAAGCTGATCTCCTTCTCTTGTTAATGGCGCATCTCTTCTTTTAAGTGACGCTGGCTGCCCTGTTGAAGCCATTTCTTCTCACTGAGAGAACTTTCTTTCAGCAGCGAGCGTTTCGCTATGAATTTGAGCGGTAGCTTAAACTCAAAGCTCGAAGAAATTGATGAGCTGTCGCTTGCAAAGTAGCGAGCTCTAAAACCCTAATTTGGTAATGGAGAGGGATCCAAGGAAATGAGAACCGGGATGACAACGGTAAGGATAAGTTTGAAATCAAACCCAAAGCCCAAGCTAATATTTGGGTCATTGGATTAACAAACGAGAAAACATAAAAGGCCCAAAAATAAACGACCACAGTGGGAGTCGAACCCACGACCTTCTGATCCGAAGTCAGACGCGCTAATCCACTGCGCTATGCGGTCGTTAACGCTAACGGATTGAGGAATTTAGTATGTAATAGTTACTAATTTTTGAATATAAGCATTCTAACATAAGAGCCAGCAAATACATAAAAAAGAAAAGTAAAATACAATAAATATGGCAACCGGGGCTGATTTCAATTATGTGCCAGTAATAAGCCAGCACAATTCTCAAAACTGATTCATGGAGTCACTATTAATGTCAAGACAGGAGAGCACGAACTCCATTTGTACAAATTGTTTTCCGTCCATGGACATACAGCAAAATAAGTAAGAAAAGGCAATCATCACAGCTGCCTGCTGCTGCAACCAGACAAAGTTTTCTCTTCAGGTGTTAACAATCATTACAAAGTGATCATCACATGAATGCCTGACTTGGTATCCTCTCTTTTAACTTTCCCGTAATGCTTCATCCTCCAATCTTTGTATTCAGGTGGAAGAATATGTTTTGTTACCAAAACTTATTGGAGCTTACGCTTGTGTTAAGTTGTTAGAACATCAGGAAGATTGGTGGATGCTCCAAGAACTTTACCACCGACATCAGGAAACGTTTCATAACCTGGCAATGGACCAACCGTCCCGTTTCTCCTGATTTTAATTGGATACAGCATCAAGTGTCCCCTCATTTCTCTGTAATCATCATCCACAAATGATTTCCAGTTACGTTTGGCAATCTTGTTAACAAGCTTTATACATTCCAGGCTTTGCGGTTCCCGGAAAGCATCCTCCAGTTTGCCAAGGTGTTCAGCCCACAGAGACATCCGATAACCATAAACCTACATCCAACAATACTGGTGCAACTCATAAATCTAAACAGGAATTTAGGCAAACATTAAATATATCTTATCCCCCAGAGATATTATTCTCCATGCTTCAATGCCATTTTGTTTACTTTGAAGCATATGCTAAAACAAATAAACCAAAAAAAAAAATAGTAGTATATATAAATTACTGCCTGTTGTCTGGCATTCTTGAGTATTTAAAAGTGAACAGAGCCAGAATCCCTAACCTGGCCATGTGGGTGGGATTTCTTTCCTGCCCATGTGTAATTTGGTTGGTAAGCACCCATAGCTATTTCTGTGTCCCTTGAACCATCCAATGATCTCTGGTTAATGTTTGCTGATCCCATGATCACATACTCATCATCAACTATCATCCCTTTGGCATGGACATAAATCATGAATCTGCGGAACTCTTGGGCCAATGCCTGTCAAAATATATAAGAAGAAATTTCTAGAGTTAATCAAATACAGATGATCAAAGAAAAAAACCTATCCATTAAATAGAAGGTATTATTATGCTATAGGAGAACACTCTTGCTTGATAGAAGGCAAGCTGACATCAAATCCAGAGGTAATGCTACGCATAAAATAAGTTTAGCTTCAGTCATGTGGCAAAACAACAGCATAATACACCCTGTCAAGCAGCCACACTTTGGAGGGTGTCACATTATTAACATTAGGAATTGGATAATTAATTGCATTCCATTTTGGAAGCCATTTTACTTTGATTGCCGGAAATATAATGTACATTTTGAATTTTAACCACAACATAAAGCCATCATAAAGATCTTTGTAGTAGCAACCTCATATAATTATGAGTAGATAAAAATAGCTTACCAGTGCACGGTTATCCGTTTGTTGATTTACTTGAGATGAACTTTCTGAAGAGGGAGCATCACGCTTACCGAGGCAATAGAAGTTCAAATAATCTTGTGGATGATATTGATCGGAAAGGCCTGATTTTTTGAGTTCTTGTGCAATGATTGAGTACATTACAGCCATTGTTTGTCCCTGCGTGCATTTAAACATCAAATAAAGCATAGATATTATGATAACTTGCAACTTGCCAACATGTTATCCAAAAGGTTTCGACATGGATAAGAAATAACATGCAGAAATGCAATTTGCTAATTTGCACATAAGAGCTTAATGAAAGACATAGCTTTTTCTTCCCTCCTCCCTACCTTGGGGAATCTAAAACTATCATATAATATTTTGCATTTTCTTTTCAATAGTGAATACACCACTCAAGCCAGGAAACCACCAGTTCAGTCTATTTCTGGATCTTAATTTTGCAGCCACTCAAGAAGTAAACCACACTTCTATAATTTCTTAGATCGTCAACAAGGCAACAAGGAAAAAAACGCACCAAGAATGGATAAAACTGGTTTTAGTTCTTTTCTATAGAAAATTCCTTGGTCATGCTGGAAGCATAAATAATCATAGAGGTCCTTACGATTCTATGTTACAGGCTACTTCAACCAAGCTAAATTGGCATTGGATATGCTTTAATGTTCTAGGTTTAATTTATCCCCTCCATGTATGTGAAGTGCACATCCTTTAAATTATAGGCTTTGTTGAGCATGATTTCTATGCCCACATGCACTTCTCAAAACAAAATTAATTCAAGAAAATTTGGATATGTCTTGTGTTTGCAAACAAAAATACGAGTTTGAGCAAAATGAACCTGACACCAACGTTGCTCAACAGCTAAAGGACAATGAGGTCAATAGAAAATTCAAGGATCATGAGATCCGAACTTTGCTATGCACAAAAATATGGAGCCACAGTTCAACCACATTTAAAAATTTCCTATTTTTGTTGACAATGAAAGTTCTAATTTGTAGGGCATAATTCTTAATTTGAAGAAATTAGAAAACCTGCCAAAATAATATTTCCTGCACAGCATTGCTAGTTGGCACACCCTCTGGCCACATAGGTATCACTATATACACTGAGAAACGCTCATTTGCACTGATTTTGCTGGCAATTTTCAGAGCCAATTCCATAGGGATCAAGTTATCAGCACCTGCTTATATTAAAAAAATTCCCATTAAAGATTCATCCATCTTAAATGTCACAAAGAACTGAAAGACTTTATTTAGCTTGCCCAAAAATCAGAGTAAAATTATAAGCATGTCAAACTTAGGTAAAAATCACAGATGTTAGCAGGGGAAACCCAAACAAAAATGAACCCACAATGATTAAAGACAGCTCAAGATCAATTGTTAATTATCTTACAATTAAGCTACCACTGAGACTATAAGAGAAAAACCAAGCAATGCTAGCTGCAAAAAGAACAAAAAATGCAATTACTCTAATTCTTTTTGGTGTAATGCATATACATGCCGAATGTACTCATATAAGAAAAGGAAAATAAAAGATGTTTATCTAAGAACCTACATAGTAGTTATGCATCTTTTGGCTATCTGGACGACAGTCCACTGGTTTTGTTGTTCTGAAGTTGGTTGGAGGATATAGAATACACCAATTACCATCAAAATAATATCAGATCGTAATTATATAACAACATATAAAAATAAAGGACAAATACCAATCGATGTGCATACTTGTTCAAACCAAACTGGAGAAGGAGGTGGACCAAGCCACAGCTAAATGGTAGCCCCACCTTTCCTCCAAAGACTAATCCCCAATCCACCAGCCAAAAGAAAAAAATGAAGAAGAGGTGATACTAGTCTATGATTGTTTACCTGCATTTTTGTATGATGGCCAATAATATGAAGACCCAAGGAAATATTGATTCTCTATATATATAAAGTGTTGTGCCGACCTTATTGCTTTTATATAAGCTGTATGGATGCTCCTGTCTACTTTCAAGTTCTTTCCACAGACAAGATTCTGCAGAAAAATACATCAGAATAACAAGGTTACTGATGTAAGTTCTTTTGCAACAGGGTTTCACATGGATGTAAAACTTAAAACACAAACTAAATATACCTGGTAACAACTAAGAAGACTGTACATAACATAAGGCACTATAATAGGCCAGTTTCTAACCTGAGCTGCAGCTTGCTTAACATCCTTTGGAAATCCTTTTACAGATCCAGAATCAATAGACCGGAATACCTACCAAAATGAGAATTAACATTAATCACAATGGTATAGAATCTCATCAAGATAAATAGAAGGGGTAGATGTTATTTTATAAAACTTATTCTTCCCAACCTGCACGTGCCAATTCTCAGGGTCCTCTTCATCACAAACACGCACAATTTTGTCTCCGTCAGAACCAGGAGAGGGAGATATTATCCATGAAATACGATCTACCCTTATCAAGGCCTCATCGTGCCAAGGAGTGACCTTTCTTAGCTTGAAGTCACGCCATTTTGCTGCCTTTCTCCATCTTTGTTCAAAGTTAGTCAATACATCATATGCAGCAGGACCCTCGATTTTGCAGTGTAGATCATGCCACGGTTGCCTCGGGCTTTGGGCATTAGACTATACGTAAAGAGTACCACTGTCAAAACCAATTCCACAGAATATAACAGAATTTCTTCAAGCGGCAATCTAGAAACAACACCATGTACCAGTGAAACAGCTAGATGCATGGTGGACACTCAATCATTATCACCTAAATATGCCATTTAACAGTTTTTTTTTTTTTTTTGAAAAGCAATATGCCATTTAACATTGGCATGACAGTTATCTTGCAGTTTCCAACACAATGGGAAGGAGAATACAAAACTAGGGAACCTTGGTACACCAGACATTAAGCTTATATGAGCATGTAGCCTTAAACTTGAACAACTGCATGATTACGTAAAGGACCAGCAAAGATATGCTCAAGCATCTTGGATAATGGATTGAAACTAAATTGATGTTAATCACTATACTAATCATAGAAGTCCTTGTCTATCTTTCAAGGTTTACCACAGGAAAAAATAACTAATGTCATATCTATATCCCCACCTTGCCCTCCAAAGCCTATTTAGACAATTAAACACCATGAAGGAGAACGTCTTCATCAGCTAAGTCCATTCCAGCAAAATAACTAAAAAATTTACACCTTTGGTCCAACACACTAATGCTAATACCTAGAAATTTAATTCTAGGTTTTCCTTTTATGTTGTCAAACTTTATTGGATTATCGAAATTTAATATCATGTTTAGTTTTTAGGATGGGCATCTAACCTAATACTATGTTTATGTGCTTAGGATAGGCCCAACTTAACAGATGTACTCCCCCTTACATGTAGGGACAACAGATCTAACATGTGGCAACTCATCTTGGGAGGGGACAATAACGGTGGGCAGTGCCTGATGCCATGTTAAATTTTAGATGGGCATCCAACCTAAAACCTATTGATAATAGGTCGAGCGACCCTTACTATGTTTATGTGTCTATGACACCCTAACTTAACAGATATGAGATTTCTTTATTACCGCTAATAAATTTTAGGTAAACTAAGGCTTGAAATTCAAAGACTTCAAGTGAGAAGTCAATTTCCCTGTTCAAGTTGCCAATCTTTCTATATACCATATCAATCTGCTTCCCATCCAAAATCAGATTTAATTACGTATATCTTAATGCACACCATGTCGCATATGAAAATATCTTTAATTATGTCGGTCAACCTGCCAGCTACTTTTTCTGTTTTCCCTGAGAACCTTTCTTCAACAATCCATCTTCCAGCTATTGACTCTTCAGTTTACCACTCTCTGCTCCTTCCTTGTCTGCGATTCTCTTCCCAGAACCATATCAACAGACCACCCGAACTTCTAGAATATCACGGGGGGCTAGGCAATGGCATCATAGATCTACGAGAATAAAACATAGCAGCTAACAACTTGCTCGTAGTAGATAAGTTCATATGTTTATCAGACTTAAAGCATTCGCAGAATGCAAGGTTTTCTTTTGTATAAGACTATAATCCTACATTGAAAACATTTTACATGAAAATATAAAAGATCCATTAACTAAAAGAAATTCAAGGTAACGAAACTTCATCCTCTGTTAATCCCATCGTATTTCTATTATCTGACAAAAGGAAAAAACTGTTCTAAAACCCCAGGTTTGCAGGGCAGAAACCAGTATCAACCAGAAATGTTAATGTACTCATGATCATGCAGAAAGTCTGCTGAGGAGAAAACCACTCACAGGAAATGTTGGATTATGAAAATCATCCTTGAAGACAGTGTCAAGATCAAGAAAGAGACGGTGCTCAGGGGTGTCATATCTGCCATCACATAAATCCAGACCACCTATGAAAGCAGTTATTTTCCGATTATTTCCTGAAGCTTGGGTGTCAAGAAGCACGCATTTCTGATGATGTGTGAAAAGGGTTCCCACAACCTGGACTAGAAGGATCCATTCAAGCCATGGATAAAACAACAAATCAACTGTGTAGCCATATAGATATGACCAACACATAATAGTAAAATCTTTCATGAATAAACTCGCATCTAAGCAGTAAACAGAAGCACAGTCACATTACTAATACATGGTTCCAAATTCAAAGAAATAAGTTCCTTACCTGTTGCTTGAAAAAACTAAGCTTGTTGCTTGCATAACGAGGAGCAAGCACACAACGAACACTTGAGTGTTTGAAAAATCTTTTAGTCTCTTCATCATGAGTCTGCATAACACCTACCTGCATTCAAGGCTAACATCATTCATGACACATCTATGGCTAAATAAAACTTGCAAATGAATCTATCATTCCACCGGTTTCTCTGATTAAGTGGTGTACATAGGTTAAGAGTGGTTTGGGAATGCAGCGATAACATTACAAAAACGCTTCAAGGGTCTGTGTAAGCTTATTCATAGAAATGACATTAACTGCGCTTAAATCAATCCCTTTAGTCAACTTGTGTTTTTTTTTTGGAAAGAGTGGATATTTAATTTCACTGAAAAATCATGCTCTAACATAAAAATTGCTCACAAAATCAGTTTAAAATGCTTATTTACCTATAAGGTTACATTACTTAGCCCAATATTATGGAAAAAATGCTTTCTAACATGAAGGTAAATGATACTATAAATTGCAAATACAAACTACTAGAAATGTTGATTATTCATGAACTGTACCGTTTTCAAGAGACCCCTGTCATGCGAAGTTTTATCATCCCATATCAGCATAACCACACGGACCCCTTCTTGCGACTTGTATTTCAACAACTCCCCCAAAGAAAGCTGCCCTCCATTAGGTAAAGGCTTTGTTGGTTCCCTCACAAGTTTTATAGGATGATAGACAGACCAACCAACTATATATATGAGGTGATGTGCTTCTAGAATGGCATGGCATATGTCTTCCCAGCATTTGCCTTGCTGATAAACTTTTCCACCATCAAGTAAAATTTCAGGTAGCAAAGAATCAGGTACATGAGCATCTTGATAAAGGGTCACACTTCCTCCTTTACGGAGAGGGAAATACGTATTTGGGACTCCCACGTAATCTGGTCCAGTCCCAACGCCATGTTGATATAGAGGGTTTTGTCTCATTGGCCTAAACTGAAGAGAAACATGAATTTCAGGATAGGGTTTCAAACAATTCCCAAAATGACCAATAATCGGGAACCAATCATTAATTTCATGTCCTGGAAGGACTTTTTCAACAGCTATCTCAACTACTCCTATAAGTTGAGCACCAAGAACATCATTATCCTTAACATGAAACTCAATTTTTACTACAGGATGTGCAACTGGCACAATGAAATGTTCATCCCACAGGGGGTTCTCGCAATTGGCAATTATTCTAGTTTGAGCAACAGTAGCCCCTGCAAGGCAAACAGATACATAAGGGTCACTAGTAATCATAGACTGCCTGCCTGAGGCCTTGGGTTTTTTTCGAAAGTAAGTGTCACAAGTTCCAAACATGGTGAAAAATCTCCTCATTCTTTCTGAAGCTAAATCCATATTTGGAAGAGATTTAGCCTCTATAATCCACAAGTCAAGTTCACCATGAAGAAAAGTGGTTTCCCCAATGGCCCCACTGCTTCCAGTACTGTCACGACCCATTCTGACTAGGGAATTAAGCAAATAAAAAATTGCTGAAGCATCTCAATTTTGCCAGACCTGAACCAAGAACATCAAGTCATAATAAACTTCAGGAGTGCAAGAGAAGTGGAATTCTTTGTCTGGAGTCTTAACTCAAAGAAGATCCATGAAGTTTTTTAACATATGATACTTATATCTGAAAGCTAATGAGCATCTCTAATTGAACAAAAACCTCTTGTTTGAAGGATGCAATCTAGTAATCATCACAATCAAGCAGTCAAACATAATGAACTATTCAAGAAATATTTTTATTTTCCAGAAACATTATTCAGAGGCCCTGCTCTGCAAGCTGATCCAAGAATTATCCTTGCTAATAAGAAAAAGGAATTAGATTTGACAGCACTATCACTCAAGCACTGGCATACACACACACACATCCATTGGAGGAATACAGAAAATTTTATTCTTTCTGCATACACAAATATAAAAAGGATCTTGAATATAATGAGAGCGGACTCTCATTGATGAAATGCACATAATATACCCTTGCATATGCAGTATAGTTGAAGTAAACAATTTGCCTTAATTCAAAGTTACAATAAAGGCCAAAATTGGACATCAAGGATAACGCAGACATTCAATTCTGGCCTCTCAAATGATCGATACTTATCTGCTGTAATATTATCAAAAATGGAACATGTCTGGACCATTTTCATAATAGCATATTTTCTGATCCTAATTTGACCATAATCATAAAAAAGATGAAATAATAAAAGAAAAAGGGTTTATCAACTTATGGGCAAAATTACAAGTAATAGATCAAACTTACCAAGCAAAAACAAAACATTTAACAAAAATCAATACTTTGTATTGGCAATTTGTCAATATTAGAACCACCAGAATCAAAGGCAACAGAATTCAAAATCAAACACAAAAAAAAGGAACAAACCCACATAAAGTTATGGATTGCATATTTAATATTTTGCATTAACTATAGCTTTAAGATCATTCTTGAAAAAGAATCACCTGAAGATGAGTAGAGGAGAAGAGGAACATAGCGAAAGGGGAATTGCTTCGGCCACAATTTCCTTTGGGTTTTGTTTGAGAGAGTTGAAGCGAATATGGCGGGATATATAAGGCAAAGAATGGTTTCGGTTGGAAGTTGGAACCCATTCTCCCTAACAAACGAGCACCCTTGCTCACCCGAACTAAACGTCTGATTGGAATTTGGATGTTCCCCTCCCTCCCATAAAACAAGTGTCGATTATTCTAACATTTTGCCAAAATTATGAATTATGATGTCTTTCTTCACCTGACTTAGGAAGACAGGACAAGCCTTCCTCAGTCCTTCATATTGAACCTCTTGCCCTTCCGATTCCATATTACGTTTTCTCCACCCATTGGACGTGAAAAAGAAATGCTTTAATTCACAAATAGTAGTGATAGTGAAAAATTACGGTGGGTACTCAAACTACTATGGCCATTTCCTTGGAACCTTTCCATACAACGCGGACTAGTCCTTAATCCTCAAGTTTAAGTGTGACAAGGATTTTCTCCGAGGAAAATGCACTTGGAGACTTCAGTCTTTTGGCGAAACCCAACCCCAGAAATCAATAAAGAAAAAGACTGATCAGGCATATTATAACTCTCAAGTACCTCAACTCCTTGATGTGAGGCCATCATTTCCGATTAAGGATCTGAAAGCTTTTGAATTCCAGAAGGAAAAAAGCTCGCCAGGTTCCCTCTTCAGGTTGGCTTCCATATGTTAAAAAGATTCTTTACCAAGAGAGAGACAAAAGCAGCAGAAACGAGATTCACAATTCGGCAAGGAGAACGACGGTTGGGTTGATGTTGATGAGTTTAGGTCGCGTTCAATGCACGAAGGGGATCTTCCGCGTGCTCTTACGCGGTACTAGCAGCACCATACGTATGGTTTCCTCTTCCTTGTTAATTGGGTTCTCTACTTTTGATTCTATCGTCTTTGATATTTTTGGTGAAGACGAATTGGAAAAGTACACAATGTATAACATAACGATAATCAACTACAACTTATGAATGCCGATTCATAGAGGTTTTTTTCCCAGAAAAAAAGTAATTTACAATGGCTCATCTCGACAGAAACATCCAGAGAGAAATGTTGAATGGCAACCTCCAGGCAGAATTTTCTTCAGGAAGAGAGATTCATATGGACAATGGGAGGAAATTCCTACATTTTCAGATAATGAAAAGGCAGAAACAAGAAGGCAAAATCACATTTTGATTTGATGCTAAAATTCTAGTTCAAGCTCTTAACCAAATAGGGGATGCTACAAGCTCGAACTTCACAGTCAGAAAACTGAACTAAGACAAAACAGTCGACTATTTACCACGACAGATAACAGAAACTGCTATAGGTAACTCTTAAAGAGAGAAAGAAAAGACACCATGACTCCTTTGCACGTCCATTCTCCCAATCATCTCAAAGAACCATTTGAAATCTTCAGTATCTTCCCTGCAGGAACAAACACCTTCAATCAGCAAATATTGCAGAGCACCTGACATGGCTCAAAGGAAAGAGCAACTCAGAAATGTGGCTCAGCATCAATTTATGAGCTTTTATCCAAAAGTTAAATTGATTTAAAAGGAATGCCTTACTTGGTGCATCCCTCCTTGTCCCATTGATCCGGTTGGCTCTCCTTGCACATTTCTCTGCTCTGCTTGTGAGAACCCTTGACCAGCTCCATGTCCCGGGTAAGACTGTCCATACCCGGCATTTGTTCTCTGCCCATAACCCTGCCCAGAGCCAGCAGTTGCTCCTGGCCCATAGTTCTGACCAGATGCAGGATTTGATCCTTGCCCATAACTCTGTCCATAGCCAGGATTTGCCCCTTGCCCGATACTCTGCCCATAGCCAGGATTTGCCCCTTGCCCAAAATTCTGCCCATAGCCAGGATTTGCCCCTTGCCCAAAATTCTGCCCATAGCCAGAACTCGGTCCCTGCCCATAATTCCCACCTTGTGTGGAAGCAAAGTACCTTTGATCTCCTCTGGAATCCCTTTGCTCAGGAGGCACATAATTGTGCCCATCTTTCTGATAGAAGCCCCTTCGTTCTTGGGACATATAATTTACCTGCCCCCCTTGGTTGAAACTGCCCTGGTATGAAGGATCACTTCCTTGTGGAGCATCCCTGTTGTTCATTGGTGGCTGCTGACCGTAATTTTGTTGAGGTGGATAATTTTGTGGAGGCCTATAGTTCCTTCCATCCCCTTGCACAAATCCCTGCTGATTGTATGGCAGATTTCCTTGCTGGTTTTGCATTGGGTTTCCTTGTCGCTCATACCTTGGTTGGTCAGGATTTCTATTATTTTGACGGAACCTACCACCTTGGTTTCTACCATACTGAACAGGGGGTGGCCTTGGTGTGATAACACCATTTTCATATTTGTCGCCTGGCAGTCACAGCAAAATATTCAACTCCAAGGTCAAACACTTCACAATGTAGTAGGTACCATTCAGATAAAATCAGCCAATAATGTAAAACAGGATGGGAATATCAGAAAAGGAAAACTCCTAACCTCCATACTCCTTCTTTACTGGATCAATATAAGAGTCTGGCAATACAAAAACAACCCCGGGTACATCTGTTTATACCCAAAAATTCAAAAGTCAGAATCTTTCTTTCATTTTCTCTCAAACACAGATATCAAAATCTTTAAAACGCATAATTTTTCGGGAGTAGCATGATATCATAAGCTGTAAAAACTGACCATGAAACTTTTCAGACTCTTCTTCAGACATTAAAACCTGAAAACCTTCATAAGTAGTTGTGCTACACGCATATATTCTTTTTTTCGCCTCCTCCACGCTGAAACAAATTAACCCAAAATCAGCAAACCCATTTGCAACCCACTAAAAACTAAAGATTCTAACATCAAGGCTACCTCAAGTTAACCAATCAAACAAAATGCCTAATTAAAAAAAAAAACTGCTACAAATTTATTTCCAATAATTGGGCAAAACTTAAAGATAAAGGAGAGATAAAAGGGACCTGATGCCGAGGCCTTGAGCACAAATCTGCTCATAAGTACGGACCATTTCTTCAGGGGGAGGCTTATTATCTTTGGGGAAATCAACGACGATGAGCCAATGGTTGTAATCGCAGCCTTCGAATAAAATCGTGTCTTCGGTTATCTCATCCCCTTCTTTATACAGTTTGTACTGTCTCGGAGATGAAAGTGGACCCCCCGACGATCTGAACCATCGAGATTGAAAGATACCGAAAGATGATGTTGATGATGATGAAGTACGGGTGGAATTGGAAATGGTGGCTGTAATTGTAGGGACAGCAGGGTTGGGAATGGAGAGAATGCGGTGGAGGGTGGACAGAGTAGTTAGTGCCCGATGGAGGCGAAGTGGATGCAGAGCCATGGCTAGGGTTTCGGTGGTAGATACACAAACCGCTAGGGTTTTACAGGGTTTAGGGAACTTTCTAGAGAGAGAGTGAGAGTGTCGAGAAGGTGAAATACGGAATTGGACAATACTGATTTGATTTGGGCAAATGTCAATTTAGGGCCACATGTTTTCTCTAATTGGAAAAAGGGCTCAAGCCCATTAACAACAAATGCAATTGAGCCCAAGAAATAAACCTGATTTTTATTGGGAGTAATGTTGTTGTCCGATGAGTAAAGTTACCTGGAAAACGCCTTTAATTACATTTTTACATAAAGTTTCAACATTTGTACATAAAGTTTCATGTTAAAAATTCTCTCTTGTAAAAATACCAGCCGTGGCTCCTCTGCCATGCCTCCTCTGCCATTCCAGCCATGAGCCACCGCCTCACACATATTTCCAGAAAACTATGTACCGTTGAGAACCGTATCTGCACCCTTTTCATTATACAAGACGTCTGTCCTTTGCAACGATTGAATCTCGAAACTGATTCTCCAGTACACTCGTCTTGCAGCGATGACTTTGCGGCATTGCTTGATGCTGAGTTGGACGTCGGTCCTTCAAGTTTTTCACTGGACGAAGGAGATGAAGAAGCTGATCGTGATAATGATAATGATGATGACCTTGATAGTCAAAAGGAACAAAAGGTGCAAGATCGAGAAGTTGGAAGACTTAGAAGAACCTCGTTCAGGGGTTGATAGAAATAATCTTGAAGAAGAATGTATGTACAAATCCGGGTTCTTCTGGACAAAAGTTGGATGATGAATTTGGTGTAACATTAGGGTGTATACATAAGTTTTTAAGGCTTGGTAACAATGAAATTGATCGATTACGCATAAGAAGCTTTATTTAGTTCTTGATTTGGATCACACACTGCTTAATTCTACTCAGCTGATGCAGCTAAAACCTGAGGAAGAATATTTGAAGGGCTAATCTGATTCCCTTCAATATGTTTCATAAGGCAGCCTCTTCGTGTTGGACTTTATACATATGATGACCAAATTGAGGCCCTTTGTCCGTAAATTTCTCAAAGAAGCAAGTGAATTGTTTGAGATGTACATCTACACAATGAGTGATAGACCCTATGCATAGCAATGGCTAAACTGCTTGACCCGAGAAGAGAGTACTTCAATGGTAGAGTGATTTCAAGAGATGATGGCACCCAGAAACACCAAAAGGGTCTTGATGTAGTGCTAGGGCAAGAGAGTGCTGTTGTGATCCTTTATGATACAGAAAATGCAAGGATGAAGCATAAAGACAATTTGATTCTGATAGAGAGATATCATTTCTTTGCTTCAAGTTGTCACCAATTTGAATACAGTTTCCAAATCTCTTTCTCAGTTGAAGAGTGACGAAAGAGAGCCGGATGGAGCACTTGCTTCGATTCTTAAAGTACTTAGACAAATCCAGCATATCTTCTTTGATGAACTTGATTGCAATCGCGCTAGCAGAGATGTGGGGCAGCTGTTGAAAACAGTACGGAAGGAAGTGCTTAGAGGGAGTAAAATTGTTTTCAGCCGTGTTTTTCAGACTTCCGGACAGATACTCATCCTCTGTGGAAGATGGCAGAGCAGTTAGGAGCTACTTGGTCAACAGAAACCGACCTTTCAGATACACATGTTGTTTCAAAAGATGCTGGGACAGAAAAGTCTCGCTGGGCAATGCAGGAGAAGAAGTTTTTCGTCCATCCATGGCAGATAGAAGCTGCAAACTTTTCCCTGGCATAAGCAGCCTTAAGAGAACTTTCCTGTTAGCCAAGGAAAGAAACAATGATCACATTTTCATGTAAGGCATTAAGCCCCCCCGTAGTGGCAGACGTTGGAAGTTGTTGTATTTGTTTTCAAATAAAATAAATTCTCTCATTTAATTTTCAGCTAAAAGGTGGAATAGCAGTGCTGGAAGTTGTTTAATAAATTTAATGACTCGTTCAAACTCAAAATATATAGAATTACAGAAAAGTTCTTATAATAAGAATGACGTAATTGAAGTTGTGCACATGGCCTAATTATTTGTATTCATCAAGGACCTTTAAACTACTAAATGGAAATAATTAAGTTAGTCTTCTTCGATCCTTCTGAAGCCTGCATGCATGAGCAGAACCACTGATCTCACACGTCACTTTGCGGAAAGCTTCAACAATCTTTTGCTAACTGATAATTATAATATATAGTTGTATTTATTATTTTATTTAAAAGGAGGACGGTGGCCAACTGCCAAGTCAAGATCTTCAAAGCTCAAAGAGAGAGAGAGTTCCTAGTGCCTCCCATGTGGGTAGGTTGCATTTGGTAGAGCATAAAAAAGGAGAGATTATTTCAATGCAAAAACGAGGGTGGCTCTGTTTAAGAAATCACAAACAAAGACAAAACAATAATCATTAAACTAATATTGTACACTTCTCATGTTCTCTCAGCTGAAGACCTTGAGAAAACGTTTCACTTCCTCCGAAACCCACTGTTCCTCGCCCACTTCCTTGTTTCCTGGATCTTTCACTTTCCGCCAACTGGGTTCTTCATTTTCTCTAGAAAGCTTTTCGCTTTTTTCTCTTCTATGAAAAAAAGTGTTGGCTTTTGAAATAGAAAGTTCAGGTCTTGTTGTTGTAAGAAACATGGAGAAGTTGATAACGGAAGGGAGGTCTCTAGCGGAGACCCCAACTTATACTGTTGCTTCTGTCGTTACAGTTTTGGTTTTTGTTTGTTTTTTGGTTGAACGCTCCATTTATAGATTTGGAAGGGTAAGTGATTACTGTCAATTAGTGAAGTAGTTTCCCAGTAGCTCTCTTTTTGGTTGAGAAATGTGGGAAATGAAAGAAGGAAACTGTTTCTTCTATTCTTCTTCTCTCTTTTTTTTTTTTCTATAAGTTGGGGGACCCACATTTGTTGACAATTTGGCTCGGTTTGAAAAATGTTTTCAGAAAATTATTATGTTATGTTTGGTTTCTGACAATTGTAAGAAAACATGAAAGAAACTCCCCTCATGGCAGCTGAGTGCTGAACCACTTCATTGTTTAGCTTGCCTTTGATACATTTGGGAGGTTACCCATTCTTCTAAATTGGTTGCTGCTAAAAAATGAAACAGAGTGTGCTTCTAGTTCTGGAATAATCTCAGTTTGGGACCCACTTGTTTACTTAGCTTGGTTTCTGAAGGAATTTTTGTATTATTAATTTCTATTTTGCTTCCTGGGAAAGTGAGAAATCGAACTAAAACTTATTTTGGCTTGTTTCCCTTTTCAATACTAACAATGCACTCTTCGGCTGCTGAAAAAAATGTAAGAAATTGCAATAGTAGCTCCTATAGTCACTCATACTTTTCATTGAGACAACCTTTAGAAGGTTTGGGGGGAAGCTAACGAGAAGTATATGAAAATTAGAGAAAGCAGAATTTTCAGCTATTGATGTTTGATTGTGTGTAACTGCAAATGATCAGTGATATGGCTTGTGGCTATGTTTACTGATATTTGGAAACAATACCAATGGGGAACATGGTCTTTGGAGATTGGACATTTGTTTCTCTTTTCTATTTTATGTCCATTGTCTAGTGAAAGAAAGAGAGAACCCGCAAAACAAAAAACTTAGAAATTTGCCACTGTATCTGAATATGATTTTCTATTCTGTATAGTGGTTGAAGAAGACAAGGAGGAAAGCTTTGTTTGTTTCTCTGGAGAAGATTAAGGAAGGTGAGTGAGTAATTCATCAGTGTCAGATCCTCTGTTGATTGAGGATTGAGACTTGATTGTTGTCATTCATATATGTTTTGGGGTTTATGTGATCTATTTTGAGTAGTCACTGACTCCTTTGCAGTGTCGTGAAGTGAGAGTTATATCAGATTCTGATTTTCATGCTTGTGACTTTTTCTTTTCCCCCTTCTTCATGTTAGACTTGATGTTGCTTGGTCTTATATCTTTGTTGTTGGCACAATGGGCACGAGGGATATCTGAGATTTGTGTAAATTCATCCCTTTTCACCAGTCGCTTCTATATTTGCTCTGAGATGGATTATGACATAAAAAAGAATGTGTTGTTTGAAAGTACTTCCTCTTTCACAAATGAGACTGGTATTCCTCCAGAAGGACTAAACTCTCATCCATCACATCAATGTGGTGAGGTAACTTTCTACTCATCTAGGTTTAATTTTGGTAGGTATATCGTCAGCGAATTAGATTTCTCACTGATAATGGTTGAATGCAGGGTCGTGAGCCATTTGTATCATTTGAAAGTCTTGAGCAACTCCACCGGTTTTTGTTTGTTCTTGGCATCACTCATGTCCTCTATAGCTGTCTGGCGGTTGGCCTGGCTATGAGCAAGGTGCAGCCTCTATCTTTCCAATGCCACTTGTAGGTTTACCAATTAAAGCTACTTAACAGATCATGCATGTGAATTAAGTGAACTAGAGGGCATTTCAGTTATGGCTCATTATTTTCACCCTTGATTGTCTTTCAAACAGACTAAAAGTTATAGCAAGCATGATAGAATCTGACGTTTAAATTTTTCTCTGAAACTTTAACAGTCACCATGTTCTTGCCATGAAATAGACTAATTTAACTTCTGTGGGTTGATTAAGGACTTTGAAGATTTATTCCAATCATTTAGTGCGTGAAATGGTGATTTTTTCTTGGTTTGTTGCATTTCCACTGTTACATATCACTTATATCTTACAAAATGCTATTTTCATGATATCTGTGATGCCTCCTTCATTAGAATAGTGGTTTATAGATTCTCATTCCACATCTATGTAGATTTATAGTTGGAGAAAATGGGAAAACCAAGCCAGCATCATAGCTGAGGGAAGCTTGCAAGGTATGTAATGAAATAGTAATAAATATGGCCCAGCACCAGTTCCTCCAAACAACTTTTTTGCCTTTCCACGGGTATTATTTAGCAGTATTATGAACATATTTTCAACAATATGATTTTTTCCAATTATGATTGTTTTTTTGGCATTAGCAAAGAGAAACAAAGTAATGAGGCGACAATCTACCTTTGTTTTCCATCACACATCTCATCCATGGAGCAGGAGTCGAATTCTCATTTGGATGGTGATTTTCATGCTCAAATATATATTCTGCATTTCCTTAATCAGTGATATTTTCATCTTTATACTGTTTCATTTTCTTGTTTGAATCTTTGATGCTGAAATGTGCCTGGTAACTAAGCTCAAAATTCTGCTAGCTGAGGATCCAAATTTTAAGGTTTAAGCTGTGTCTTTTGTCAGTTTTCTAGGGATAACCCTGTCCGAAATCTATGTATATCCAAAAAGTATTGTTCTGGAATGGTGATCCTAACTTCTCAGAAGCATACATCTGAGTGTCCCAAAACTCGAGAATGTTGACTAGAATTGAGTTATATACTTTTTCACTCTCATTATAACAGTCAATTTGCAACTTTCTTCTTTTATTCCATCCCCACTTTTTTTATATTGATTGATTTGTGTCTTTAAGTAATTGGTTTTGTGCTCTGTACATGCAGCTTTGCTTTCTACGACAATTTAGGAGCTCTATAAAGAAGTCAGATTACCTGGCATTACGCCTGGGTTTCATTACCGTGGGTATCTAATTTCCCTTGGTTACCTATTCTTCTCACTTTGCTGGTTTGCTATTGGATGGTTCTTGTAATAAATATTAAGTTGTACATTCGCTTGTTTTTCTTATTGACTTACCAGAAGCACAAGCTACCTCTTTCTTATAATTTCCATAAATATATGGTTCGAAGCATGGAAGATGAGTTCCATGGCATTCTTGGTATTAGGTAAGTGCTCATACAAACTGGATTTCAATTTTGAACCTATGTCCTATGATTTGGTTTTATATAATTCCCATTGATTAAGTTACATAGTAAAATTGCGAAGATAGTAAGAGGATTAATTTATTAAAGGAAGCTGAGCATATCAGAACAAATCAAGGAAAGCATTCCATGGAAAACATAAATTCGAGCAAATTTCTTTCAGAAAAGCTGTTCAGTGAAATTATTTTGCCTAATTTCATAATACTGCTATATGAATAAGCTAGTTATTTTCAAGAAGAAGACGAAATGCCTGCTCTGAATAATGTATATGCTGCTGTGTTGATTTGTAACTGTAAATGAGAAGATCAGAGCAGAAAACCAAAATGATATACTAGAACAGGGGAGGAAGAAGATAGATGTCATACAGACTGGAGAAAGAAGGGAAAAATATGAATGAAAATGACAAATGAACCACAACTACTGCTCTTTCTGGATCATATTTTACTTGCAATGCAGGTTGCTGATTTTGATGATGTTCATAAGACAGTTGTCAATAACTCTACAATTTCTGATAAAAATCAATTGTAACTGAGATTTTGATTTTGCAGCTGGCCGCTTTGGGGATATGCTATAGCTTGCATCTTTGTCAATATTCACGGTAACTAGTCATTTTAACATGTAATGCATTTTTTATTGTTCCGTTTTATGTTTTGGTTTTACTTCTTTGGATTCACAAGTTCATAAGATAAACAAAGGCAGATTGAGAGTGCACAAATTCCCCTGACCCCATGAATTCTTTACAAAACATCAGACTAGGAGCAAAGAGAAAAGTGCACCCCCTTGATCATTAAAGTTGTCCTCTGTCCTGCTTTGCATCCTTGAGAAAACGAAAAATTATGCTGAAAAAAGCCTATTGAGTGAAAGAAATTTTCTGATAATAAGATAAGGTGCAAGCTGGTTGTCGATATTTCAAGGTTGTCTATGAGTGTAACCAGATTCAGTACGCACTTATCCATCTTTATTTTCAACTTATGTGCTACAGGGCTAAATATTTACTTCTGGCTCTCTTTCATCCCTGCTATTGTAAGTGCACTGACTCCTGCCGGCAAATTATTCAGAGAGAAAGACAGAAATTCTTAATTAATTTTAATCAATGAAAGAGGATCGATTACCTGAATTTTTGTCTTACAAAATTGTTTCATATGTCAAAGCTTTTGATGCTGGTTGGGACAAAACTTCAGCATGTTGTTTCCTCATTAGCACTTGAAATTAAGGAACAAAATGGTCCACCTACTGGAGCTCAAGTCAAACCACGTGATGATTTGTTTTGGTTTGGAAAACCAGAGATATTACTCAGGTTGATACAGTTTATCATTTTTCAGGTAAAATCTACGCTTTACATGTTATGTCTCTCATGTGATTCAGATTAGTATCTATATCTTATTATTTCTTGTTCATGCAGAATGCCTTTGAGATGGCAACCTTTATCTGGTCATTGGTAAGATTTACCTCTTATCTCTTTGTTCTGCCTGCTTGCATTACATGCACAAAAAATAAATTGTTGCATGCAATTTGCAACAGAACCTTCTTCTTCTTTTCAGTTATTTTGAGAAGATGGCTTATTTTCCTATTCTCCATTTGTTTAGTGGGGACTTAAGCAGAGGTCATGCTTCATGAAGAATCATTTTATGATAGTCTTCCGCCTAGTTTCTGGGTACATTTACTTTTAATTAGAGAGCTTCAATGCAAAAACTTCTTTAATGAAAAGCATGCAAATATTTTGAATATAATGTGGTTTTAATTGCGGTGAATGCAGGGTTCTTGTTCAGTTCTGGTGTAGCTATATCACAGTGCCCCTGAATGTAATTGTTTCACAGGTTTTTCCCTGTCTTTATCACATACAAGTTTAAAATTTTCATTACGTTTGCACCATTCGTCATGTTTGCTTGTATGAACCTGATAAGTAACTTGGACAAGTATTCCTCAGTGCATGCATCTCTTTATGGAAACTTAAATGAAAGAGATGATTCTTTTAATGTAATCTCAAAGCTTTTCTAACTAAATCTGGAAGTTCTTCACCCCCTACTCTCCAGTGTTGTCTTTCACAATTTTTGCTTCACCAATATGCTCTACTTGGGCTTGCATTAGCATTACAAAAAGAGTAAACATGCTTACTTTGCACTGTATGATATGCTAACATTTCAACTCTTGTTGGTGCTTTCAGATGGGATCCCGATGTAAGAAAGCCTTAGTTACTGAGAGTGTAAGAGAATCACTTCATAGTTGGTGTAAAAGAGTAAAAGAGAAGTCTAAACGTGAATCTGTGCACTTGCGTACTGCAAGATCAGTGTGTTCACTCGAATCAGTAGTTGATGATGAGAGGGATGAAATCACAGTTGCATCCGGCACTTTATCCAGAAGCTCTTCCATGGAGTCACTAAATCAAGTAACTATAACATCCTCGGAACAATCAGAGGCCATTCTCGGGACTTCCAACCCTACCCAAGGTGGATACTCATCACGGGTGGTGGAGTATTTATCCGAGTCTATAAGCATCAACGCATCACCGCCTCTGAGCATTGATGAAGGCGAGAATGGTGGCATTGCAGAAGAAGAGAAGGTTGACACTCTGTATGAGTTGTTTCAAAGGACCTGAATGGTTTATCTTACATAGTTCAGTTTTCATTTTTCTTTTACCTTTTTGCCTTTTTGCAACCATATATTTGGCGAAACAGGTACTTAGATTTTGATGGATCTACAAAATGCTAATTAAATAGTATCAGGTAGTGAACAAATCTTTCTTCAAGCAATTAACAAACTTGCTTGAGCACAGAAATGAGTTATGGTGGTTATACAGCTTTGGGCGTTTTCTTTTCACCTGGAAAGCTTAATAGCAGTAACTCACCCGCAATTAACAAAAAATGTTCTCAATGCTTTTGCTTATATACAGTTTATCTAACAACCATGACCCTGAAAATCCGGCGTTCCAACAAAACCTGTTGATCCCTCTATAACATCTTGACTGGTAATTTCTCTTTGTAAATGGTCAGTCGGAGTATCCATTTGTTTTACATGTGAACCTCATTTGCTCACTACTAGTCTACATTATTCATGGTGGAGCATCACATTTCATAAAACTAATCCAGTCTGCATAATAATACACAAACACAGAGTGACAGATAACAAAGAGATCCTCAGCAAAACATTTAAAGATTATTAAGGCTACGACAATTTCATACGTTACCACAAATGAACAAAAACCTCACAACATGTTGTAACTCGTTCAGGGACATAACAGTGACAACCCTTTGACCATTATACTAAGCCAACCAATCTAAAAGTAACAGACAAGAAATTAGGAAGAAGGCGAAAGATAGTAATTGTTAAACCGCTTTAAATTTAGAGATCGTCCTCCTTGTGTGTCTCGATGACAACATCACTCGTGGGGTAAGCGACACAAGTGAGAACAAAACCAGAATCCATCTGCTCATCATCGAGGAAGCTACCGTCAGACTGATCCACAGAACCTTTTGTAACCTTTCCAGTGCATGAAGAGCAAGAACCAGCCCTGCATGAGTATGGAATATCAATACCCTCTTCCTCGGCTTGGTCAAGAATGTATACATCGTCTGGGCACTCAAATTCTACAGGTCCTTCAGGAGTGACGAGAGTTACTTTGTATGCAGCCATGGTAAGACGGCCACCTCTCTGGGCTTTTAGGCCAAAAAGAGCCTGCCTAAAGGTGGGAAGGGAGCGTAAGCTTGTCACCGGCTGGCGGCGGACAAAGGAGGTGCTGACCATGGCGCTGGAGAGAGTGGCGGTGGAGGCCATTTTCAGTGTGATGGGGAAGGGGCAGAGAGTATTGAGCTAAAGATATGCTATGGCAGGCTAAAGGGTGTTGAGAGAGCAGGCATGTTGATAACGGGCAGGATTGCGGGAAAAGTGTGGCTAGGAAATGGAATGGATGAAGTGGCAATGAGTCCTATCTGCCACGTGGCGAACCACCGTGACTTGCATTATCTTTATACCATCACAAAGGTTCACCTATTAATTGGTGAATGTGGCTGCCACAATCCTCTTACGATATTTCCCTTGGCATTTTGTCGAAGAGAACCATCGGTTTCTTATGTCTCTACTTTTAAGGTACAAAATACGAACGCGTACCAAAGTCTCCTCGACGAAACACTGAGCCCCCAGCACCAACAAAGTTCCCTTTTTTTTAATTTTTAAATTTCCGAACACAAAATGTCAATTACCACAAGATTATGGGGCAGATCAGGCAATGCGTACGTCAAAATACAGAGTCTTTTTAAACTTTCAAAGACAACTGATGCTCCCCTTGGCAAAAGGCACACCTCAAACTTAGTATGTTAAATGCTACATAAGTCACAACCGCAGTCCATCTTTCTCGACCGTTCAGTTTCTAGCGGTTTTAATTCATTTGTAAGACAATATTCCTAGCGTATAACACGACCCAAACCACAAATTCATATAACAGTTTGTCCCGTCCAGCTATGTTTCCGTTCAGCTTCACTTGTAAAATATAAACTTGTAGTATTATTGCAAAAACAATTGAACTAATTTCCCTTGTAATCTGCCTTTTTTAAAAAAAAATTAAAGCTAACATTTGGCTTCCTTCAATCTCCAAATCTCGGTAAGTAACAGAACATCTATACTTCTCTTAATACCACGACTTCTATTTTCCTCTTTTTTTCCTTCTTTTCTGGGTGAGAAGTAGTTCGGCAGTCTGGCCGCGATTGAAAGATTGAACATGCATCTCAAAAAATAGGAACGAGAAACAGTGAGCCAAGTAGTACTGCAGTATGGATACAATAAAAAAGAAAGAGAAGAAAACGAACACCCATTTACTGATTTCCTTGAAAAGTTGTTCCTTCTCCCCCAAAAAAAAAAAGTGCAAATAGGACAACAAATCCAAAGGGAATTTAGCCATCAGTTCTTACACGGGACATCTATATGCAAAGGGATCAAGGACAGAAGTATAACAAAAGTATGAGAAATGACACGAGTCTAATATTTTAGCTAGCTTCTGAATTATAAAACAATATCTGAATTCTAAATCAGGGCTTCCAATTACAGCCGGGTAAAAGAAAGCCAAAAACAAAAATCTCAGGGCTTCCCCTAGTCCACAGAACCAAGAATAAATCCTTACCGTCAAACCCAGTGATTTCACCTGTAGGCTTTACGGGGTCCCCCATACCTGACCATAAGCTTCCTCTTCAACATTTATTGCCTCAGACAACTGAAAATGCTCACGGAAGCACTGATGGTTCTACTTTCCAACAGCATAGTTCTAGTCACACTTAATGTTTCTGTAGATCCTTCTTACGAACAAATTAGAACCAAGATAACCAACAGCTCCTGCACATCGAAAGGGGAGTAACACATGAGCAGAAACAAAATGATACTATTAGCCAAAGCCATAAATTCCACTAGTATCAGCCAAAAACAAACAGAGATAAACAGCAACAGAGAATAAACAAGCAACAATGGTTCTTTTAACAACACCACCGCCCAACCCCCTTCAACAAAAAAGAGAGTGAAAATGCACGGCGTTTTGAAAAATCCAGCATAATCTACAGACAATTCAACACATCCAACTAGTTCGGCAAAAATGTCCAAATTTCCAATCAAGGAAAACAATCTGGAATATTTCAAGAAAGAAGCCAAGTAGTGAGACACATTAAAAGACTAAGGAAATACTCAGTGTTCCATCAAGAAAAGTCATACGAGAAAATGCCTACCAGAATGCGCACATAAAAAGGCTGGATAACCTTGTTTACAAATAGGATATATTATTTATAATTTTATATATTTCAAAACTCACCGCAGAGGATTCCTAAACCAAGACAAAACATCAAAGTGTATCCAAAGTAGAAGCTGGTCTGGAAGAAGCCTGACATCTTGGTTTTCACGTAGTAGTAGTATATGGAGTACAAATACACATAGACTGCTGTTGAGGCAGCAGAGAAGAATGACGTCCACTGCCAGTGATAGTTCTCAGCATTTAGTAAGAAATATGTCCCCACAATTGTCACACAAATGGTTACAATGATGAGAATCAAAAAGACCAGCAGCATAAAACCATAGACATAATAAACCTGCAAAACAAAAAGGTAATATAAGTACATCGCACCTGAAATTACTAGAAAAGAAAAGAAGACTATGTTCTACTAGTCATCAGTACATAAAAATAAAATAACATTTAGTTAATTTCCCTTTGTATAACATTTATCAGTCACAAAAGTTGTCTAAGTTGGAGTAAAGTAATTCAGTCTCTACCTGCCTATAAATTTCCATTCCCTCTTTAATACAGTTGCAATATGCTGAACACTACAGTAAGTCACTACCACAAGAAAAAGTGAAAGGCCACTCCCACAGTTTAAATGGGTTTATGTACGATTTTTTTCAGAGAGTAAATAATTCGCACAAACATTAGATGTATATTTATGCATTAAGGCAGTCCCCATACAGTCAAGACATAGGTACACATGAACCTAGCAAAAAGGAGTAAGAACAACTCCTACATGTCATTAAACAACATATAACCAAATCATTTGACTCCCATAACCAGGAAAATCATCAACCATACTATTTGGTATACAAAAAGCAAATGCAATTCAATCTCCAAGAATGATCTTTGCTTAGTTCATCATCAAACAATTAAAACCTAGGAAAAAGAATTTCACCTTGTAGTTCCAGAAGGATGTGAAGACAAAATACATTTCAATGAATATGCTGCCAAACGGTAGAAGTCCTCCCATCATAGAGACCACAGAGGGTGTAAGATACCATTTCTTCTCTGGAATTGGGCGAGGAATGGTCTTCACACGGCACGGATTATTTGGAGCACCACTCCAGTTTCTTCCAACAACTGTACCAAGAAGAGCCAGGGGGAATGAAATGAAAGCCCAAATAACGAAAACAACCACCATTGTACCAAAAGGAATAGCTGCTAGAGATCCATAGAATATAGCAATTGTGTTCAAGATGAATCCAATCCCAAAGCACATAAAAGGGAACAGAGATGCCGTAAGGATCATTGATTTTATCCAATTTTTACCTGCAAAACCAACAAAACCCAACTTTTTTAGAATGAAGGATCCACAAGGAGAGGGAACAAATACAAGCAAGAATGGCTAAGGGATAAAATAGCACATACCCCCATTGCGTGAGTACATTCCACCACTCACATAACCAGAAATGAATGATGTAAAAGCGTAACATAGTATAAAAGTGGTGACAATTGCTCCTCTCCTGTCGAATAATTAGTATATAAGATAACTAGTGGTCAATGAGCTGAAAGATGAAATGCCAGAACCAACTAACAATGTGGTTCACCAAAATGAATTAAAATTGGGGGGAAAGAGAAAACACTATGGTCAAAATTGAGAATGCTCTACAAAGGAAAAGCTCATAAAATAGAAGCATGAAGGGGAATCCCACAAAGAGGTCCAAGCATTTATGCTTGACTTTATGTGCAAAAAAGTGGGGTCTAAGACAGGCAACAAAAATAAATACGTTCACAGCTCTCACAAATTTTGTATTTCATACTAGCTTCTCAACATACCCGACATACAGCGTTCCCACAATTGCCAATAAGATGACAAGGAGAACAAGCAATGCTAGCTGAGCACCTGTGCCAACAACAGCAGAAAGCAGAACCAAAGTGCGAGGAGGCCGGAAAACATCACCATGGACAAGTTTCCAACCAGACTCTTCGCTCACATCCCTTTCCTGAGAACATAGGTAAAATTGCAAGGAGAAAATGAACTTTCAGAAAACAGAAATTTCCTCAAATAAGAGAAAAAAAAAGAAAGGGTCCATGAATTATCACCAAAGTTTCCAGATCATCATCTTCCCGAGCATACTTTGCATAGTCATTTCTCAGAGTTCGCATCAAGATCATTGACACCAAACCAGTGAGGAAGATAACCATCATGAATGAATTGAAAACAGAGAACC